CGGATAGTCATTCATCATGTCATGCACACCATCTGGAATCCTTAAATCGCACTCCACCATGTATCCCGTCGAAGAGTCCATTGGATGATCGAGTACCGTCTCCAGAAGATCATCCGTCACTGCTTCAAAGCAGAAGTCCGACACGGGCAAGGGTTGAGACATGGCCCATCCATATAGATTGTTCGCATCTAAATATTGGATGAAGCTTGTCGGCTCGTCTGGATTGTACTCCGATAGATATCTGTTGTTGGCGGTGGCGTGTCTAGCGGACACCATGCTTATGCCACCTCTTTTGCCATGCTCAATGAAGTTGAACATGTCAATGTCGGAAATGAGATGAAGGGACACCTTCGTCATTTTCACCAGCGAATCCCAGGCAAATCCCGGTAAGGTGAGGTAATTAGCGGGATCCAATCCATAGGTTGCGTGAGCAGTTCTTCTGAAGTTTTCGAAAACGTCAGCCAACAGCAGCACATCAGTCTCCAGGTAGAGGTCGTGATAGTCTCCTAGATCTTCACAGTCAAACGCAGTCCATACTGTTTGCGCATAGGCATAGTCTTCATCACTGATACCCTAGGGAATAGAAAATGTACACCAAAAAGAAAAACAAATCAACGAACTTATTTTAGTAGTTCGCCCACACAATCAATTATTTAGTATGAAGCTGCAGGAAGCGTTCAAACACATTTTGTCTTATTTTAGTACTTCGAAGTAAGATGGTGAAAAAAGAAAGAGAGAAAGATCTACTATATCTGTCACACTACTCACCGTGTTCGTTAGCATTGAGTGGAATGCATCCTTGGGTGGTAGACGCGTTTCTTCGAATTGGTCGTACGACCCCATATATTCATACGGGTAGACACCCTTTCGTGTCAACAGTTTGCGTTCATCCTCGTCTGGAAATCGTGCGGATAGAAGGGCGAATGCATCTGGTGGTGTAGCCGAAACCAACCGGTCTAGGGAGGTGTTCAAGAATGCCAGGCTGTCGATGAACTGGAACTGTCTCCATCCGAATGTGACATATTTTTCACTGTTGATGGGAACCACTTTGATAGCACCGAGACGCTTGGTCTGAGAAGAAGAAAGAAAAAGAGGAGACACAGTTTTAAGGTGCAGCTGTAAAGATGAATATCAATCATATAAACGTGAATATGAGTACCAACATAGTAATGATCTTCCTTCTTAGAAAAACATCATGATCCACGCACACGCACACACACACACACACACACACACACACACACCACGCATATGTAACGTACCCGTTCTTGTCCTTTCTCGTTCACATACGTAATCTCATCAGTGGATGTTCTCCCAATGGCAGATATGATGTGATGAGAATCGTATCCCTTCAAGTTATGAAAGATCACAGGAATCTTGATCTTGAACGGCTCAATCCGCATGTTCAGGTTACAATGGTTGTGTGCTGCACCACGGTAAGCACCGGTGATGTGACAGTGGTCACGTACACGATCGCTACCCAACGCTTCACCACAGATCCAACAGGAGACTACCGTTTCAAATTCACGTTGCTGACTTTCTGAAATGATCATTTGACCAGCATTACATGCTAGAAGCTCATCACGGATAATCTCCTCCTCTTGCTCAAGTGACAGCAGAAAACAGAACATAGAATCTTCTCCACGGTAGAAGAAACGGTTCGTGACGACGCCATCAGATCGTACTACAATGTACGAACAGGAACAGGCTACATGCTTGTTCTTTTGGAATGTCGAATGACCGATTTTCTTGACAGCGGACAGAGGTTCTATGAAGGCCTCACAATCGGCATAGATCACCTGCATTTGAGAGAGAGAGAGAGAGAGAGAGAGAGAGAGAGAGAGAGAGAGAAGTAGGAATAGCAGCAGGGACAACACCGAGTAAAACAGCGGAAAAGACAGATAGAGAATTAGGAATAGCTGCAGAGACAACACCGAGTAAAACAGCAGAAAGGTGAACAATCAGAGTCAAGAAACATGTGCAGGAAAGAAAAGAAAGAAAAAAAAAAAAAAAAAAAAAAAAAAAAAAAACAGACCACAGTGTGTTCACCTTGATTAAGTGTTCTACTTACAAATGGGGCTTGAAGCTGCTTGTTCACATTCCTGAACATCACTCTATCACCAGCCTTTGGCATCTCCACCGTAGCTTCAGGATGTTCACTGCAGTACATCATATGATTATTCAATGCCTTCTCCGTGACGTGTGTTGAGAGACATCTGAAGCAGACAAAATGTGCTCGACGTGCTCCAGTAGCAACAAGACGACTGAATGACTTTATCCACACCCAGTGCTGCACCTCCACGTCATTGCGTTCGTCTTGGATGAGCAATATATTGATGGCGGTCTGCGGTTGCTGAGAAATTCTTAACGGATATATGACTTTCTCTTCATATCCGAAGACGTTGATGTAAAGACCGTCGTTCAGTCTTTCGATGACTGGTATGTCTTCCAGTTTTGCTGGAAACTCGATGCCGCTCACATCCACAGTATCCGCATGTTCTGCGTACGACGATTGACGACATGGATGAGACTTGTCTGCCGAAAATTTAGCAGCCAGTATTGACCATCTAAAGTACGGATGACATAAGACATGGACAGGCGGCATACAGTTCAATCCATACACCGTATCACCACACTGAAACCCCACTGCTATACTTACAGTAAACACTTGTTGTCAGTGTTCTGCACGTTAACAATGGCCTTCTTCGACTTCAACTCCGGTGGCAAGGGGATGTACGAACTTCCTCCAAGTACACAGTAGCGTGACATTTCGATGTGTAAACAGGAAATCCGTTCAACTACCCAACCTGATCCATGACGAACGAAATCATCAAGACGAGCGTTGATCTGAGCAATCATCCTACTGAGAAGGTCCCTCAGGTCCATGGTGTTGAGCACCAGCGTTGTACTCGATCGGAAGAAGAATGTGTTGGAAACCATTTGTCCTGTAGCAGGATTCAGCTTCTGCATCACCACCTGAACTACCAAAGAACACTTGTACTGACCCCATTGCTCAATATTCTCTTCAAGAAGCAGCTCCAGCGACGGTAGAACATGAGAGAAAAACTTTAGTACATCTGCAAACTCTTGATCAGGACAATAACTAAAGAATTGCAACAGATCAGATGATCTCACTACATCAAAAGACTGACGAGGTTTCTTCCGAAGGGGTTCCATCCTGAGCAGGGGTGGTGGCGGACAACCACACAATGGCTTGACAAGGTACCGAGGATCTATTTTTATAGGGTTTTCGTAATAGTTGAATTCGGAATAACTGGTTGTTTTTCAATTAACCAATCCACTCATCTCCCGCTGGAAACAATTAACCACTTACCGCACTTCCCGCTGAAAACATGTGACCAATTAGCGCACTTCCCGCTGAAATCACGTTCATCCTTTTATCGCGCATTGACCCATGTTCCACACTTCACAGTGAAATCAGTGCTGCAATGATGTACTGTGACGTCAATGCATGGATGCATGATCTGTGCATCTGAGGTCAAGATGAATCCGGTATTCCAGCAGCTAAAAGTTCGAGAAAGAATTGTTGTATGTCGAAAAGAATTATACGAGAGGAAAGCTAGAAAAATTCTACACCTCATGGACCTTTCCATTACGGACATAGATGGAAAACTAATTGACTTATGTCAATGGAAAGATTCCAAACCCGAACCAAAAAAGACACGGCATGTCGCGAGCAACGTTTTGGTTTTTGGCGCGCACCGTGTTCACCGTGTTCTCCAAGGTCGTCACCTTCCCGGAGGCGGGACCCGGCGGGACGGGACTTGGCGGGACCTATAAAACCTGATATAATTTCATTTTTGGTTCACAATTCATTTTTGAGTCCATTGGATGATCGAGTACCGTCTCCAGAATTTCTCTCTCTACCAGATCAAAGATGTCGGCCTGGTCAACCTCCGAACCATATGTAGAGAAGTTTTATTTATTTTCTTGTAGTAATAAAGATGAATTAACCGTTCGGTTACTCACCGATCTGGGTACAGCTTACGAGCTAAGACCCATGCTTCTTCACCCGGATCGGGCGGACTTGACTCCCATGGAGATTGCACAGTATCTGTGCAGGGTGTCGACGCGCGTTCTCGTGAGCGGTGAGAAACACCAGCGTCTACCGAAGATCGTTGTTGATGGTGTAGAGGATTATGGATCATCATCATGGCGAGATACGGGCAGACTGCTCCGCTGCTGGGACGACGGGCGAAGATCGATGTACAACGTGATGAAGGCTGCAGGTGTTCTGGATATTGTCGAAGAGACATTTGCAAATGGAGAGCAGATCGAAGCTCAGGAACTCATCCGTGTCATCAAGGATCTCAATGATCGCAAGGTCTTTCGAAAAGACGGGGATACACAAGCGTCCGGAAAATGATCCGAAAAATTGAAATTACAAGTCAAAATACTGCAAAACTATGAGTTCTGATTAATATAAAATTGGAAAAAGTGAGATAACATTGACATTTGAAATAGTAATATTTTAGACATCGGAATGCAATATTATGATGTAGGGCTGGACATATTACCCACCCCTAAAAATCAAAATTAATGATACATGCAGAATTCCAAATCATGACACCATATTACCTTATTGTTTAGGGTAGAGCATAACACCCCAATACATATTTTCAATAATACCCCTTTTTTTTGAGGTAGGGTCACCCCCTGGCACATATTTTTATCCGCAAAAAAACCGGGCCAAAAATAATTTTCACCGCAAAAATGGGGTACTATTAGTACCCCATTTTTCAATAATACCCCATTTTTTGGGACCCGGGCGCCCCCTGGCCCAGAACCCGCTCGTCGCTTCCTACTGCTGTGTGAGGAGTCTTTCAGGATTTTTTGAAACCATTAGTGGTACTAACTATTCACTGCCTACTGAAAACTGGATAATAGATTCAAAAAATTGAATCTTATGCTAACACATTTAATTATTCTCCCGACGTATGCTTAAACTTTTATTCTGTATGCCTCTTACTTTAGCTGATCATGGAAGATGGAACGTGCAGGAGTATTTGCAGCACTGCTTTCAAACTGCGCCTAAAGCAAGTGATGATTTTGCTTCTCCTCATCAACGTTGTTAAGCCAACAAGAGGGTCAGCATGGACTCACTCCCGGACTACGACAGAGTCGTACACCATTGTTCTTGGTGCAGGTATCATCGCAGCTACTACCAGTTGTCTTGCAAACAGTGAGACTGGAGGGGTCAGTGAAAAAACAACCAATCCACCAGCCAGTATGCCCGACAGTGCACCAACCAGCCCTTCCACCAGCCCACCAACCAGCCCACAAACCAGCCCACCAACCAGCCCACCAACCAGCGCACCAACCAGCCCCCCAACCAGCCCACCAACCAGCCCACCAACCAGCCCACCAACCAGCCCACCAACCAGCCCACCAACCAGCCCACCAACCAGCCCACCAGGTCAGTGACTGCTCCAAAGCCGGGTCAGCCGGTTCAGCAACCCGGTGAGGGGGAGGGAGATACTTGGAACCGTTTGGAAAAAGAATACCGGGTCACTTGTGCCCGGTGGGGAGTCATGTTGAGTACTGTTTTTAACTCTTTTCAGGCGGATGACGTGTATACACTTGCCTGAACCCTATGCCGGTTCTATGATGACGTGTATACACGCGCTTCGGTTTGCGTCGTTTATCGTGGTGAATAGACCGGTGTGCAAACTTTCTTTACTCTGTGAAAGAGCATCTGATCTCCACAAACGACACACCGTTGGAAGGGTATTGAGCCCAGCTTTCCAAAAATATTCTGTTCTTTGCGATAGGATAGATATTGACAGAGGGGCAACAAAATAAACACGGAAATCACGGCATGGAGCGATCGCGAATTTTTTGTTCGTGACTATGCAGTTTGGAGAATGCCAGGGATTTCCCTTTTGCCCAGCGCATGCGTTATGGACATCGAAATAAGCACATGGATCTCAGCTTTGCAAAGCAGTTTGAATCATGAAAATCAGTTGAATTTGAGCAAGGATCCGAAAATGAATGTGTGACTGAGTTGTTGTTTTGTTCCGAGGTGTGGTGGGCCAGTTTGGAGAGGTCGTGAAATTGGCCCTGGTGGGGCTATGGAGCTGAGAACTTCCAGGATGGATATTCTTAGTTCTGATCTTTCCAACAAGCCCAGGATGATGAAATTCCACCCAGGGGAGCTGAAATGAGAACATGTCGTCCTGATCAGTGCTCCCACGCTCCACCAGGAGAGTCCGTGCGCTGGAAAGCAAAGATTACTGGGGGAAACAGGCCAGCATGCAAAGGGTTGAGGGTTGAAACGACTAACCTAAATTCCTTATTGACTAGATTCAATTCTATCGACTGACTATCGACTGGTTATCAACTGACATTGCCCTCATACATGAACACAAATACAGCAAATTTACGCATGTCTTTCATCGTAAGCAATTACGGAACTTGATAGGCGTGACATACCCCAACATCATGTCCAATGAGCAGCAATATATAAGATGCACTGAGGAGCCGATATCCGCAACCGTGGAGAATGCCCATTTGCGCATGCTTGGCCATGCTCTCCCTCTCCCGGATTATGCACCTGCGAGGCAAGCGATGCATGGATACATCACCATTGGCCAACGCGGAAGGAGATGTGTGGCCTCGAACCACACTGCCGAGTGTTCTGCACAGTGACGTGACTCACAGGAAGGCCCACAGCACGGCATGCATCATCCGCTGGACTGTGAATGGCATACGCCGGAGTTCAAATAGGCCCTCCGGAGTGATGAATGCTGTTTTATGCTGGTCTTTGCCCTCCACTGGCACCTGTCAGTAGCCCTACTGCAGCTCTTATGTGGAGAAGTATTGTGCCCGGGTAGCTCAGTCAGTAGAGCATGACACTCTTCATATTAATCGCAGGGTCATGGATTCGAGCCCCACGTGGATCGCCAAATGTCGTCCACTAAAAAAGGACGAGCTACAGTCCTCTTGCGCGACTGCGCCACACAATAAAAGGCCAACTTGTTTGCTTAGAGAGAATATTCTGATCTTGCTTTCATGAGACTAGGGCACAACTAACATCGAAACAAGACGAGACAGGGGAATATATTATGAAGACATAAGGAAAAGTGCGGCGGTGGACACGAAATTGGTGCCCGAGCGTAATACAACTAGTCCCGAATGGGAAGTGAGGCCAAGACGGCAGACGACCAAATATAACTGAGACAAGACGGCAAACGGACGAATACAACGGGGACAAGACGAGAAAGTGCGCATCCAACGGGGACAAGATGCGACAGTGCGTATACGGAGGGGACAAAAGACGGTGCAGCCGCATGTACACAGCAGTCAAAGACAGCGCAGCAGGGTGTACCGCGGTTCAGCAGCATGTACAACAAAGATACACAAACGCAGCGGCAGGTACGACAAAAATACTTCAAGTACACAAATGCAGCAGCATGTGCGAAAAGAGCTACACGCGCAGCCACATGTACAACGAAGAGCTACAAGCCCAGCCACATGTACAACACTAATGCGCAATAACATCATCCTCCCATTCAATAGAACTCCTTGTTGATGCTGCCTTCAAAGTTCAATGCATTGCAACTCACTTGGTTTGTTGACGTGGACCTATTGCATTATAGGAGATTGTGAGCAGTCACCACACACAACTCATGGTGCCTATCTGATTGCTGGTCCTACGACAGAAGGCAGTAGTATGATGATAGTGTGCTCCAAGGGTAATGACATTAATCCTAACCTTGAAACTCCCAACATCAAATGTCAATTCAATGGTAACTGGACTGTACCCGGTGTAACGCCTAGTCTAAGGCTGCGGTCACACCGAAACCATCCCCCTTCGGGCTTGTTATCACTGGCGCTCAGCTGGCTTGCGTGTTCCCTGCCGACCGGTCACACCAGATCTTGAGTGGAAAGATCTGTTCGGTCTTTTGCATCTGCGACTGGCTACTGAGTGTTGTGATCAGCAATGTTACCATGGGAGAAAATACGAGCGCAAGGATCTGTTGGGTCGTGTTGTGCCGTGCCGGTGCGAGAACCCTAAGTGCATGGCAAAATAGAACTGTTTCATCCACAATGCAGAATGTCTTGCGGTACATGCATTGATGACTGAACATCTCGCCAGCTCGCCCAAATGGGGATCATGCCCAAACGGAGGAACAAGACACTATGAACATGCAGTCTTCTTAACCCTTTGCATGCTGAGCCCCTTTTCTCCAATCCACTGGCTTTCCAGCGCACTGACTCTCTTGGTGGAGTATGCACTCACAGCTCGGAACGAAATTTATTCTCATTTCACTCCACCTTGATGGATTTTCATCGTCCTGGGCTCGTTGGAAAGGTCAGGACCAAGCGAATCCATCCTGGCAGCTCTCAGCTTCATAGACACATCAGGGCCACTTCCACGTCCTCTCCAAACTACTCCACCGTGCCTCGGAACGGCACCACGACTCAATTTCACATTCTTGTTCGGCTTCTTGCCCAAATTCAACAGATTTTCACAATTCAAACTGCGCGGCAAAGCTCAGATCCAAGCGCTTCATTTTATGTCCATCACGCATGCGCCGTGCCAAAGTGGAATCCCCTGGCACGCTCCTCAACAAAAAGAATTCATGAACAAAAAATTCGAGTTCACTCTGGGCCGTGATGTCCGTGTTCTCGCCGCTCAATGAATTCGTATCCTATCGCAAAGAACTTTATATCCCCGGAAAGATGACGCCAAGACCTTTCCAACGGTGTATTGATTATCGCGGTGCGTTCATGTTTGACGAAGTTACGAAAGTTTGTACACTGGTCTATGCACTGCGATATATCGCGCGAATCTTTTTGCGAGTTAACTTGTACGTAGTGGATCAGGTCATGCATAAAGTGCGAGTTAACTCGCACTCAGCACGCAAAGGGCTAAGAGAGAGAGAGAGAGGGAGGGGGGGGGGGAGGGTATATTCATACTCATAGGTTCGAAAGAACCGCACACACACTTTGTTGCAGACAGCGGCAAGCTTTGGCCCTCGTACTTCGAAGAGGGAGCAACCCACTGCGCTACGCTTGCGATTAACAGCAAGCTTCGATTTTTCAAAGGTACGACTTATCACTGGCTCTGGGGTAATGTTCCTGGAACAAATGCCCCATTGCCGACTGAGGGCCAGGGAGCACGCAATCTGCCTTCCTGGGCGAGAAGTGTTCCAGCACAAGAAGCAGCACGAATACATGCTGACAAAGACCACAATCACCACCAGCCGGCACACAGCACTTCAAACACCATCCCCTCCATCCATGTGTTTGCACTGTCCTCCTTTAGCTCTTCACGCTCAACAAATACCACGCACTGCTCATCGTTTTTTTATGCTTCCTCTGGGTTGGCTAGCCCTTCGACTTGACAAAACAGCGATCACCACTGCTATCGTCACCTCATAGAAGTCGCTTCCACCAGTGGATTTTCCTGTCTTTGCAAGGTGTCCAAGGATGGCTGCTGTTGTCACTACAGGCAAATCAGAAGTACTTTAGTGGCTGATGTCCAACCAGATCGTTGGAAAATCGATTTTTCCACTTCAGGGCTGCTGATCGCGATCGCGACTTGGTGACTTCGCAGAACCACGGTTACCTTCATAGAAGATGGCTCTGGAGAGGAAAAGGCAGACCAGAAAAAGGTTACTATTATCTTCAGCACCGATCTCAAGGAGAAAGAAATACGGTCTGTTGTAGCCAAGGCGCAAAATAAATCTCACAACACGATTCGCGATTCGAATATTTCAACAACAAAAAAACTCACCTCTGGAGTAACTCCTGTTTGTGGCCCGAGATCGTTCCCTCCCGCGCCTTGAAAAAATCCTGCAGCTGCATCACAGTCCATGTCTCTCTCGGAGACTCTGCTCCTACCAGCAGGAGGTCCAGCACCGCTTGAAGCCATCGCGAACCACTTGAGCTAAGCAAAAGACATTCCAAAACAAACCTGAAACACACTGTCAAAGATGCTGTCACGTTCAAAAACTAGCTCGATCGCGAGTGAGGTTGCCCCTGTGCTCGAACCCAGTATAATAAGGGGATCGGTGTATTGAAACGCCATCTGTCGCCGAGATATTATATTTACAGTCCACATGAAGATGACAACAAAGTGAGGTTGCCAACTGACAAACGCTCCTTATTCAGTTTCAGTGACTCACTCCGATAAGCACATTTCTAGGCAAATCTTTGGTGCTATTTTGAGTTTGTGCTGGATTGTTGACCCATGATCCATTTTGTTCCCAAGCTCTTCAAAGTCATGTCACTAGGGAAATGTGTAATCCTGCCACTTATTTCTGAATTTGTGTAACTCTATCCTACTGGACACACAGTGGACTGTGGAGCACCACCAACTAATATTCCTGGTGGTAAATTTCCATCTGGAAGTCTAACAACAGCTGGTACGACCCTCACGATAAAGTGTACTGATGGATATACACCTCAAACTGGAAAACAACAGATGATATCCTGCACCAGTGATGGCAAATGGACACCTACACTTTATAAACCTTGCATTCGTGAGTATTTATAAAGTTTTAATTCCCGTAGCTATGCAGAAGACGTTACTTCAGTAACGTCTGGCGCTAGCCAGGGTCCATACAGCTTTAATTTGGTGTTTGTTTGTTTGTGTGTTTGTGTCACGCCTGGCGCTATCCCGTATCTGTCCCGTACCGTACCATCAAACGCACCTGGCCACATACAGCTGGCCGCACTATTCAAATAGGGCTTTCAAACGCAAGATCATAACGTGAAGCAACTTGGAAGAATGAGTATGAATGCGAAGTGTATGGGGGAATGCATGTAGGGCGATAGTGCGGGTTCGAATTCCAGGTAATGCCTGAAAAAAAGTAAGAAAATTGAAAATTTATAACATCCCTATTCTTTTTTTCCCGTCAACAAGGCGGTAGATGGTGTCGTATTACCCTCGACCGTACCTGTCCCGTACCTGTTCCGTACCTGTCCCGTACCTGTCCCGTACCTCTCCCGTACATGTCCCGTACCGTACCGTACAATCAAAGACGGCTGGCCAGAATGCATATTCAAAATAGGGCTTTCAAATACAAGATCATAACGTGAAGCAACTTGGAAGAATTAGTATGTATGCGAAGTGTGTCGGGGGATGCATGCAGGGCGATAGTGCAGGTTCGAATCCCAGGTTATGTCAAAAAACAAAGAGTAGAAATTTATAAGAATATATACCACCCATTCCCTATGCTTTTTTTTCCTAGGTCATCAAGGCAAAAAAGCATAGCGTAGGGCCCTGAGCTTCCAAGCTCTCTCGTCACAGATACACGATAATTGAATGATATATAAAAATAATAATAAAAATTTGAAACTCGGATGTTGAGCCATAAATAAATGGAAGGCTGTCGGTTAGCGCTACGGAGATGCGTTGAAGCTAGGTGTCAGGACGTCGAATGTTTCAGTACTCTGTCAGTTTTGTGCCTAGTTATTGCACTTTCTGACTGTATATCATGTTACAGTGATGGAGAGTTACTCTTAACTCGTATCCATATGTGGCCCGATATCTGAGACTTTCGACCTTCGGGGCTACGCGGTTTTTTTTAGAAAACACTAAAAACAAATTTGTTCGCAAAAAAATCGATTCCGTCAAAGCAAAGTGCAGAGACGACAATGGCGGAATAAAATTGAAGGCGATTCTTGTGTCAGTTGGTTATTGGGCTCACGGAGCACAGCAGCCGCGATCCCATGGACGGTGATGGATCGTTCTTTGTGGATATCCTGTCAAGCGGCGACAGCGCTTCTAGTTCTGAGAGCGCATGTCAGGCGAATCGATCACAAGTGACACGCGGTACTTACCTGTCGGGGGCGACGATGATGAGGACTTGGCCTGGATGAGTATGATCAAGGCCAACCACAGTCTGCCTCAGCGATAGCTGCTACAGCTCCAGGCAAGGACAACCAGGTGGATTCCTGAGGGTACGCCGCTTGCAAGGTCGCTGGGCGCCTTTGCGCGAGTGGCAGAACTGTTTCCTGAGTGTCACGCCAGACCTGCTAAAACAGCACGAAATGATGCGAGTTTTCTTTGCGACGATGATCCTAAAATGTTTGGGATGGCAAGCTCGATACTCGAGCTAATAATGGCGAATCAGACCATCACGGAGCACATGAGGCTGGGCAATCTCGAGTAACATTCTGTTACTTTTGAGTTGGTGGTGTGAAACGCTTGTCAGGCTGGTTTACTGATGTTTGGAAATGGTCAGTCTCCACAAAGTGCAACAAGGCGAATCTGGACGCATTTGCTCTGTTTGACTCCTTCACAATACGTATGTGAATGCTGTCACATGTATCATGGTGTTCCGTCAAAATCTGTTGCAGACTATCCTGTCAAGCATGTCCATCACCAGGAGAACAGATAAATCACCTCTCCTTCTAATGCTGCTATTGCTGCTGTTGCAACTACACAACCTCAATAAAGTCACGGAATGCTGGAAATGAAGTACCTGAACAGTCAAAACACTTTACTATGATTATTAGTTGGCTAGTGATATCACATGGAAACAATTTTTGGTGGCTCCAAACACACTGATCTTTCAAAATTGTAAAAAAAGAACAATTCATTAACATGACTCCTGACTGTAGAATGCATTTCTACATGGTAAATATTGGTCTGATGGCCGTGAAACGAAGTCACAATACTCTACAAAGGCAAGACATCAATTTGCAATAAAAAAATCAATTTCACCAAAACAGCCCCGAAGGTCGATTTTCTCAGATATTGGGCCATGTCTTTTTTCTCTTCCACAATAATAAAAATAAAAATAATAATAATAGTACAGTGGAGATTGGATATAGCGACACTCATTCGGGAGAAAGCAAAATGTCGCTATATTCGATCTGTCACTAAACCCGATCTTCACATTTAGTATGCAATATGTATATCAAAATGACAGAAATGTATTGTAGATATACATGTACATGTGGATAACAGATGTGTATGACTGTACATATATCTTGCATGCAATGTACAAGGACGGTAAAGTCGCCCTGCACTGTGGCTACAACGTGCACTGACACATGATTGAGTGACCCGGAGGTCCGGGCAAGTGGCACAACCATGTACAGTGCGGATCGGCTATACGGTTGTCGGCTATAGTAATATACCTCTTATAGTGATCGTATTCTCAAATTCATTTTCTTAAACCACCCCTTTCTATACATATCGGATCGGCTATAGTAATAATCGGCTATAGTAATATATCGGCTATAATGATACGATTTCTTTGCCAAAATGATTTTATTGCATACATTTTTCATCGGCTAAAGTGATGATCATAAAAAATTATACATCGTACATGGCGAGATCTGATCGCGGCAGTCAGGAGGCGCTGGTACGACTATGATATCCCTCGGAGGGAATTCGAAATGCAGGGGCGTCACAGGGTGGTTGAGAGTGGTACGACCGGAGGTGCGGGGGTGTCCCGCGGAGAAAAAATTCGGATTTTTCGACCAACAGGGCACGTTTTAGCACTCTACATACAGCCGCAAAGGAGGGTTCCCCTAGCACTTATTAGACAATCCCACTCTAGCTAAAAAAACGGTTCTCATGGATTTTTTGGAATTTTCTGTACATCATTATAGCATAGGTGGCCAAGGCAAAAAGGAAGCCATTGCCCTCGAAAAAATCGCAAAATCCGAAGCACAGTTCTAGCGCCAGCCGCTGTGCAAAAACGTATGTCATGTCCTGCGAAAGTGCGCAGTCCAAACGTGGCACGTGTTGTGAGCTGCCTTTGGAGTGAAAAACTTGTCAGCGCCTTCTAGGTTCAGCCTGGTCCCATAGCTCAGTGGTAAGAGCATTGCTCATGACAAGCAGGGTCCCAGGTTCGAGTCTTGGTGGGTCTGGCGTTTTTTTCTCTTTTCAGGCAGTTCACTTCCCCGACTGATCATTTGAATAATAAACCAGTTAATAATAATAATAATAATATTAACTGGTTTTGAGGGAAAGAGACAAACGGGAAAAGTCATGATAATAATAATAATACTTCCTCCGTTAGCACCATATCCCTCACACACTCATACTCAGCCCAAGGCAGCAAGGAATTGTTTTGGAGATAGTATGCTGCTTCGAGTAACTGGTCTTGTAATGCAAAAGCTCGAAGAGCTGGAAAGCTATGCCAGGCCACTGGCAGCAACTGGCTCGCGAGGAGCCGCAATAAACCCACATTGTGCCACAATGGGGTTGCAGGGCAAAGCCAATGCAATTGGCAACAACTGGCTCGTGAAGAGCCGCAACTAGCGAAGCAAGTGACCAGTTAGGAGCGATAGAGGTCCACAAAGCAGCAACACTATCCCCGAACCACCCCCCAAGAAATTATCGAGCAGTGACATTCCTATGCTAGGACTTCTGGGATGGAACATAAACTGTCCGTGCAAAGAATCAGATTAGGTCACTCACTGAGGCAAGCTGAGCCGAGATCTTGGACTTGGTCTCCATTGCAATTCGCATATAGCGTAGACACACATCGCTCTGCCACCTGCCGGCAGAACGAATCAGCGAATCGGGTATCCCTGCCATGGCGGCGGTAGTAGCTGCGCCAATTCGGGATGAGTGTCCCGAGTAGAGTTCGATGTTTGGCACCGCAGCCTTTTCAAGCAGCAAGCGCACAGTACTGGTGAAAACAGCTCTGGATAATGGCACACCCTTGGCAAGTAAATACAGAGGAGTGGATGCGTTTCGACTGCCAATCATCGCCAGGTAGCGTAGCATAGCATACACAGGGCAGTAAGGGCGACCGGCCGGTCCAATGACAATGTGGACTCCCTTTCCAAATTGGTCTGTCTTTGATCTCTTTAGCAGGATGGTCATGCTGCCCGACTCAAATCTGATACACTCTCTTGTAAGGCCCTCTGTAAATTCGGTGCACCTTAGGAAACCAAAGAATGCCAACAGCACAGCAGACTTGAAGAGAACTTTGGTCATGCTCGGGCAACACGGGGAGGTGATCACAGGCATCGACTAATTTCCTTAGAGTTGGCATAGTTATGGGCAATCTAGGCTTTACTGTCTCGGTCCCATGGCACCGTTGAACACCCTTCAACACTCTCTTGAGAAGCCAGGTCTCGATCAGGGTATCCTCTAGACCCTGTTCAATGTGTGCATTCCGTACAGCTTGCAAATAAACAGATATCGTGCAAGGGCGGACAGAGCGAGCAAGAAAAGCGCAAAAGCAGCTGAGGGTAAGATCAGAAGCTGGGTAAGGTTGCAGATTGAAAAGGGAGCAGAAACTGACAAAACGACGCTCACCAGCAGAGTAGGTGCGTCTGGTATTAGCAGCAATTGCACAGGCAGCGTACTTAGTGACTTCGCTCACAAGACTGCTGGAAGACGAGCACGGTCTGGACTCGGCCGGGCTAACGGAGCATGACGTCGAAATTCCTGCATAAGAAGACGAGAAAGGCAATCTGCAATGACATTCTTGGAGCCAGCAATGTGCACAGCGCTAACATGAAAGTTGAACTCATAGCAAACGAAGAACAGTTCGCATAGCAACTTCATCACAGCTGGGGCTTTGCACGTGCCCGAACGGATGCAGTCCACTACCGCCGAGTTGTCACAGTGTAACCGAATCCGGAGCTTAGCCCATTCGTCGCCCCATGTGGTGCAGGCTGCTACGAGGGCAAACAGCAGTCATCTCTTGAAGACAGCGCGGCACGGCTTCAAAAGTAGACGTGTGTACGTGCTTGCATGCATGAAAATAGCTGCTATGAGGGCAGAGTTCACAGTTTTGTGAGTTACGATATTCGTTTGGGCAGTCAACTTGACATTCGAATGTCGACTCGAGAACGAACGTTCGAAGCTTCTCAGCATTCGTTTGACCACTAGTGCAAACACATGGACGGAGTGGATGGTGTTTGAAGAACAGTGTGCTGTGTGCCGGCTGGTGGTGATGGTGGTCTTTGTCAGCATGTATTCGTGCTGCTTCTTGTGCTGGAACACTTCTCGCCCAGGAAGGCAGATTGCGTGCTCCCTGGCCCTCAGTTGGCAATGGGGCATTTGTTCCAGGAACGTTACCCCAGAGCCAATGATGAGTCGTACCTTTGAAAAGCCGAAGCTTACTGTTAATCGCAAGCGTAGCGCAGTGGATTGCTCCCTCTTCGAAGCACGAAGGCCAAAGCTTGCCGCTGTCTGCAGCCAAGTGTGTGTGCGGTTCTTTCGAACCTATGAATATACCCCCCTGCATGTTCAGAGTGAACTATTTTCTAGTATATTTAACATCCTCAACCCGTCACCACCATGCGCTCTTGGCCGAACTAATGCACGAAGCATAAACACACCAGCACAGCAAGGACACTTCCGTTGACAGATATTGTTTACGCCTCTAGACCGCTGTTTCTTTTCTTCGAGCTCATCGTTAGAGGAGGATAGTAGCAGGATACTAATGATGATATAATATAAGATGATAGACGGTTTATGGTCCGATATTGATGATTGAAGATCTAAGAAAGCAATGACAGTGATTGCGAAATAGATAATATTATCATGATTATATGCCAGTCTGGTAATGCGTTGTACTAGTGGACAGTATTGAAATCATCACTGCATTCGATGCAAATATTGGTATACCTTTGGTTTCAGTATTGGGAAAAAAAAGAGTAAGAGAATCTGGTTGATTTGGTTGCATCTGCGACTGGCTACCGGGTGTTGTGATCAGCAATGTTACAAAGGGAGAAAATAAGAGCGCAAGGATCTGTTGGGTCTTGTTGTGCCGGTGCGAGAACCCTAAGTGCATGGCAAAATTGAACTGTTTCATCCACAATGCAGAATGTCTTGCGGTACATGGCATTGATGACTGAACATCTCGCCAGCTCGCCCAAATGGGGATCATGCCCAAACGGAGGAACAAGACATCTTTCCAGCTCAGCTAGCTATATACCGTGAAACGGATGATTAACTTGTGCCACGCATGACAGCTTCTGTTCCATTCGGCCCAGGCTTAGACACATCAATGCCAATAGCAGCTGATCCTCCATTACATGCTCATTGGCGATTTACGGCCACCTCCAACTGTATCCGCCGTCCCTCAGCTTCCGTCTTCGCAGATCTGGCTCGGCGAGTACATTTTCTCGGCTAGGCTCAAAGAAGTCCCACAGAGCGGTCCAAACACCTGAAGGCAAACCAGTCAGAAACTGGAGCGGCTCAGAGTCTTTCTTTATGTTATTGTACGTAAGCTGTTTTCGGCTTTCTTCACCCCATCGTCCAACTGGTCCACGAGACTCTGTACACGAGCTCTACTTGCTGCCAACTCCTGATGCAGATGCTGCACTTCCATTACAGGACCAGACTGCACTAAGCCAGGTTCCTTTCCAACTCAAAATGCCGTTGCCTCTCAGCAAAATGCTGGTTTGCGAGCATGGGGAGCTCGTGATGCAGACGCTGCACTTCCATGACCGAACTGCACTAGGCTCAGCAAATACTGTTTGCGAGCATGGGGAGCAGAGCGTCCAGACTCCACTCTCTTGCGAAAAGCAAACCTGGTACCCTAGGACAGCTGTTTGGTTTCCTGGACTCATCCTGCCCTTGTAGAGCTGGGCAAAACGATTTCGATTTCGGGATCGAAATGATCGCTGCAACTCAAATATTCAGAGTGACCCTAAAACTACGTCCTTCCTCACGGGGAATAGCCTGGATCCGCTTGCTCCAGGCCGCTGTGGCTCCACACGAGGAAAGGAGTGAAATGACTTGTTTGCTTCGTCCTCCTGTTCTGACAGTGAGGAACGCAGCAATGATCCTGAGAAGGCATCCTGAAGTCGTAAAAAGGAAGATCTAAACAAAAAACAAAACAGCTCAAATCAAAAGTTCTTGTGGCATTTTTTGTAGACAGGCTTGCACTGCGTGTAGATTTCGCGTGCTCTGCACTTCGCATGCGAGAAGTCACGCACAGCCGAGGTGATGTTGGTCGCGTGTGTGCAGCAGGATCCCACGCGACTGCGGAGTTGCCCCCTTGCTCGAAGCCAGACAATAATAAGGGGATCGGTCTATTGGAAGAGGATTCCATAGGGGATTGCAGAAAAAAATTCTAAAAACCCCCAACATTTGACCCATCTATGGCCAAAGCTAGAAGTCCATCTTTTTCTGAATGGACTGTAAGTTAACCTGCCATGTACTATCAAGCCATAAAGCTCTCCCTGCCATGCACTAACCTATACCCGAAACGGCAAGACGTTGACCTGAATAGAGCTACCAGTAATTCACAAGAGGCAGATATAACAAGAATGTTTTGTGAGGGACATGGTTGTTCTCGGTCCGCCAAGTTAACATTGGCACTTATCTTTGCACTTGATTTTTCGGTGTTCTGCCTGCATCATACGGCATGGAACCACTGATTCACGATCCGAACATAACCATTGACCATTGCATCCGACAACAGGACAGCACAAATCATCACAGAAGTTGCAATCGGTTCGTTTTAGTCGTTTGACTTGAGCATTTCCGTCAACACAAGACGATTTCCAGTCCGTAAAAGAAGTCTGAATGTTTCCACTCCGGGGCGATGGAGAATAGTTCCTGCCTACTTGTGCAGGTGACTGATGTCAGTGATTGCAACGATTGTTTACCCCAGTGAGGTATAGTCTCATTAGAAAAGTTGAAAATATGCTCCTGGAGCTTAAATTTCAGTCAGCTCGTACAGCGCCTAGTGAATAGTTATCACCAGAAAATTGCTGAAGAAGAAACTGCAGCTCATGCCAGCACCAACATCTCTAATGCGAGAAAAATCCGGCGGACACGCTCTGAAACTCACCGAGGACCTGGCAAGGGAGCTGATCTAAATATACAGCGAATCATGGGGGCCCTCTCGTGTAACATACTTTTCGGAAAGCTCGTGGAAAAGAGCTTCTCCTGCTCCAGAGAGTCTTTGCGACACTGGTGCAAGGTGTTAGGTGCAGCAACCGGACTGAGTTGCTTGCTGACATGTAAATCATCATGTGGCCGGATATCTGCAAAAATGGACCTTCCGTGAAAATTTGGCAAAGATGAGTTTTTTAAGGAATCTTGTTCAGTGTCATTACCACGTGTACCAGAGAAATTTTCGGGTTATCGTCTGAATCTCGACCCAGCTCAGTCGCATCATCTCGAGTGATCCCAGCAGCGTAAAATTCCTCGTCGTCAGTACTGAGCAGAAGAGCATCGTCAGGAAGAAGCCTGACGACCTCCTGAACAATAGATCGCAGCTCGGTAGCTATTGTCGATCTCAAGAGGTGACAAGTGACAAGACAGCGCGAAGCTTTGCGTGCCAACGTGGCACAAAAAATGTCCCGGCAAAAATCGAGCTTCACTCCAAATGAATAATCTTCACGGAAGGTCGAATCTCGCAGAAAACCAGCCATGTGTATGTATTGTTTTCTGATCGTGGTATGCTTCAAGTGTTTGTATTTTCTTCTTGAGACAAATGTGAAGATAAGCGCCAATTTTAACTTGGCGGACCAAGTTTATGGCTGTATTCTTATCTGCTGCTTCTATTTTCAGCGATACTTCCGACTGTGACATACAACACCACTTCAACTTCAATAACTGCGACTTTTTCTATGTATGAACCAATGACTGGAAAATTCTGTGTGAAACATAATGGATCCTCGACACCAGTTTGTGAGAAAACGTTTAGTGTACAAATAACTGGCCTCCGGCCATACACAAACTACTCATTGTTTTCCTACACAAAAACAGATGACCTACAATCACAGAATACTGCTACTGTGATCGTGAGGACCAACGCATCGGGTAAGCTACCTCGGCAAAATGTATGTCAATCATTTGCACTTCAACTCAGCACCTCTGTGCATGTTGTACACTTCAATATATTTGCAGGTAGGTTTCCTTTGGGGTGTAGATCGACTGTACAAAGCCTTTGAAACAGTTTCTGACCGGAACCTTGAAATTGGCATACCCCTCAAAGATGGTCAAAACATCACATGATTTTTGGGTCTACAAACAAGCCACGCTACAGCGTACACGAACAAGCTACGAGCGAAACTCCATCAAGCCAACATTGCCTCACCGTAGAAGAGTTCCTAGGGCAGCACAGCTTAGCCACACCAGCACCCCAGAAGACGAGGACCATCACCCCATGACTACACGACTGATCGTCTTGAAAATAGCCAAATTACAAGCGCTGGTAAAACAGCGAGCTACGTCCGCAACTAGCAAGAACTACACACCGGCAGATAGCTCTTGCGTCCCCAAAATACTTCGGTGTGACATATGATGCAAGATGGTCTGAAGTTTTGCGGGCAGTTTTTGAAATTTGCGGCAAGAGAAACGATGACATCACGAGTTACTTCTGGATAACCCTTATTCACTCACTATTACAGTTTGGTCCATTGACCCCCAGTGTGGCTTGGATATTGGGCAAAATCCACAAAACGGCTAAAATACGCCCTGAAACAAGGTACGAGAATGAGGGGTCACTGCTGCTCACAACAACACAGTACAGCCAAACCAACTACAGTATGTTTGCACGCCATTCCAAGTTACCTTGTATTGCTCATTGTCAGAGTTGAATCTCTAACATGGCACAAAGTCTAAGGTTTTAACGAGGAAAATCCATCGTTAAAGAAATGTTACTGGAGTTCCACTTCTCTCTTCTGCACTACGACGAGTGAGTGATGGCAGGGCCGTTAATTGTGCCCGCCAAGTTGGGAATTTAGCAAATGTGGCCATCTTTCTGTGACGGTACGGTGCAGGACATGCACGGGATCGTGGGCCAGTCATGGCGCATCACGTGATGATGGTCCTACCACACACACAGACATACGAAATAACGCGGTGTGGACCCTGGCTAGAGCCAGGCACTACTAAGGTAACGTCTTTTGCATAGCGTCGGGAATAATCAAGTTTGGAGCTCTCCAACAACCGTGCACGAGCCGCATCTAACCTCGTAGCAGGAAAGCACACACGGATCCATATGCATTTTCACAAGGCTACCAGCACTTAGGCATCTTGGGAATAATCCTTGCCGCACAGGAGCTCAAATGAAGCCGCCACAAAGCATCACTTACTGAATAACAGCACATGACGAGAAAGAAGAACAGGTCCACAACAAAAATCAGCATGGACTGCACCAGTAGCGGAAGATCCCGCAGAAAATCCTCGGGTACTGGGCAGCTACTTCGGGCAAGTGCTGTGAGGATGTAGGGTCATAATGGATAGCCAAAGTGGAGTCTGCGCATCTTGATAAATGTACCAGGTGGTGAAATAAGTAAAAAGTTAAAACTGTAAACCCCTTGTTGAAAGTCTTCGGTGAAGCATGCGCTCTGGTACTGCACATACTCTGCGAGCAAATGATCAGACGGCAGTGTTTCTCCTGTTGCAAAACCTGGTGAAGAAGTGCCTTGGTCCTAGTGGTGACTCAACGAGGCCTATTGCACAGCGTGGATAACGCCGTGTATGCACATTGCTGTAAAAAGTGATTGGTGGCACCCTAATATTCCATGGACAGCTGGTCCTGGAGAGTAACAGCCGAGAGAAAATCTTATCTCAGGAGCGCAACCGCACTAATGCACCAGAGATGATGCTCAAAATGAAACAATACTAGCCACAATACCAGCAAAAACCACATCTTCTGGTGCCAGTGTGGTCAGACATAAAGGTCTCACAGGGGCATAGGAAGGTATTTTAGTGTGGCATGGTCAGCCATCTGAGGTACAAGTTACTCATGGGGGGGGGGGGGGGGAGCAGTGGATGAGCCAAAACCTTTGCAAATTTAGAGCCCAGATCAGTGGATTTTTTAGTTCATGGCGTATTGATGGTGAGAAGGAGAGCTCTGTGCTAGAATAACGTTGCAGCCTAGTGCACGTGTGAGGGCAGGTGTGTATTTACCACCATACTGCCAGGTGTGTTTTTATCACCATTTGAATCAACCATGGGGTACCGGGGCAAAGAGTGGTACGGTCAATACCGTGGTGACTGTACCGTGTCCGACGCCCCTGTCTCAGTGTGCCTTTCCAAATGTCTAGATGGAACAAGCAGTCCTCATTCTGTGGTTGGTCATGAACTGAAATCACAACATTAATCAGAATGATTTTGCCGAATTCTCTTCATTTAATGTTTTTCTCTGCCGTCAAAGACTGCGGTGTCCCCAAGAATCCAACTGGAGGTACCTACGTGTTTAAGTCTACAAAGCAAGGAGCTACTGCAACAGCTAAGTGTAATGACACATGGTCCCTCAAACGTACCTCCGGCAACTCTATTTCATGCACAGTAGCTGGTATGTGGTCACCTCTTGATTCACCTTGCATTCGTAAGTAGTCAAAACGTCATTATTGGTATGATATTACTAAGCCTTTGAGAGCCTTAATTGGGAGTTTCTGTATAAACGATGAAACAATAGACATTCATGATTTCACAGCAAAGACTAAAATTTTCATGCACTACTTCCTCCGTATACAAAAACTTCGTAACGTTTTTCAACGTTTTTTTAGCAACATCCTGCTCAACGAACCGCGCCAAAGGCTATCATCGACAACCCACATTCATGTCGAGGTAAGTTTGGTTGATCCCGAACAGATTCTCCACGGAAGCCATGCTCGTGAGGTCGTTGCCGGAGGAGGAACTCACGAGTCGATTGAAGAAAAAACTAACACTTACTAGCTCGAAACTGACGCAGTGACGAAGTGTAGCTCGTGGCTGGAACACAGAGTCACGCGGCACTCGCTGCCCTGAAGCTAGCCGGGCACGTAGGTCTACGTACAGTGCACGGCCTGCAGCGTGAGACCATAAGACTGTTCCTCTCGCACAGCAAGATGAAACATTTCAGTCGTAGTGCAACCAGAGCAGACTCCGGATCGGAATGTCGACGACCTGGCTTTCTTCGCCCCTCTCTCCAGTCAGACGTCTCCTTTGTCGCGAAGGAGAATCGCAGGGACCTCCTCGAAGCCGTTGTACAATGCTGGGAGGAGTATACTGCCGAGAGCCTGTGGATGTGCTTGTATGACTCGTTTCACGGCATAGTTGAGGTCGCGGGCTGGAACGACTGAATAGTCGACGTCAATTCGTACGCAGCTCTGGAGATGAAGAGGAAGTAGCCAGAGTGCCGTGTCGAATCATCACTCCGCTGACAAGAAGCTGAACGAAATGCGAGCGGAAGCAGCGACTGTTGGCGATGGGGAGTCAGAGTCGTCAGGTGACAATGACACAAGAGACGAAGACTCTGAATAGAATCAATCTCATTCGTCTGAGTTGCTTTTTTCTTTGTATATAGCTTGCAAACAGGTTAGACAATGCCACGAGTGTTATTCCAAGTCAAACGGAACAATTCCAGAGCTATGTGCAGTCTTCCAAAGAAAGTGAAAAAAAAGAAAGTCAAAGGTTTTGTATACGGAGGAAGTAGGATGGCAATAAACAGAATCAGCTGAAGCGACGTGTTGCGCCTGTTCAAATGTTCATGTACTGAAGGATTAACTGGTGGATTTCTGTCACCGGTGTTTGCTACTGCATGTATGTACAAGATAAATACAAATTTGTTATTGCATTCTGCAACTTTGTAACTGGGGACTACATGAAACCAAAGTGATGAGCACTTATATAATTTCAACCCAGAAAAGAAAGGGGAACAGACAAGGAGTATATGGTTCATGCGAAAAGTCAAAAATGTTACTGTTTGTACCAGGCTGGCTTCTGAACAGACCGGCCAGATTGTTTCAGCTGCTTCTGCAAACTTTCAACCTGTGGTTTTATGTCCTCGGACGGTGGGAACAGGGATGGGAGGTCAGTGAGCTTGTTCATGATGAGCCTGGCCTTAAGCCGCTCACAGTCCAGAATAATGCTGGGGAAAGTCAAGGATCTCGCAGTCCTAATTTATACATACTAATAGTTACAGTGGAGATCTGCAACTACAATCAGCTTCTACTTTGCAACATTAACGGATTAGTCCCCTTTTGTCGATTGATGGATCAATCGGTAGATTCGGCTCTGTTCTTCTTTCCTTTCCTTCTTGTTTTGAATTGTATGTTGAACTCATTGGATTTCTTTGTATTCTGTATCTCGTTATCGTTATATTTTCCTCTAGCCCTCTCGCTTAGGATGAGCTTTCTTTTTTAATTTTTTATGGCAGCTTAAGCGAAGGCTATATACCTGCTTTATGCAGGTTGATGCCAACGCGAACAAGCAAAATAATAATGATAATGATAATAATACGAAGTCTGAAGAAAGCGTTGAACGGTCTCTGCTGGGATGACGACTACACCATAGCTCAGTGGTTAGAGCATCGCTGGCTACAAGCGAGGGCCCCTGGTTCGAGTCCTGGTGGTGACAGTCAATTTTTTCTTCAGACTTTTCCCGTTTGTCTCTTTCCCTCAAACCAGTTAATAATAATAATAATAATAATAATAGTTACAGTTCTCAAGTCACTCATGGACAGGTCCATGGGTTTAACGCACCTGTCAATGAAATCCAGCCAGAAAAGTCTACAAAATGCATTTTAGTATTTTTACAAAATGCATTTTAGTATTTTTAGAACTTATTCAGAAAGTGGTGGACATCACGCAACTGCATTGTAAATAAAACAGGGTTTGTCAACTGACAACCGCTCTATTCGGTTGCAATTCACTCTTGGCGAATGCGCTGGATGAAAATTATTTTACTAGTGATGTCGAAAAATGATTGATGTTTCGGGCAAGTCACCCATCGTCAGAACAATTTACAAGGGGCGAACCAGGCCTTTCATAACGAAAGCAAGCGAGAGCGTATGTATATCCATGTACAAAACAAGTGAAATACACAATAGTCCTACGAAATTGAGTGTATGAATTCGCATGTACATCAGACAAGGAGAAGTGCGCTGACAGAGTGGGTATGCAAGAGCTCAGCAGATAACGCCCAGGAAATGTGTGTATGAAGGTGCCGTGGTTGGCTATCACCTGACCTCTCATGTTTATTGGCAGTCTTCGGACGGGCCAGGAGATGTTGAATAAATAAATAAATAAATACCACAATCATTGTGTGTACAACCCTGTACAGACACAGCAAGATTTAGCAGTTTCAATGTGAGGGTGCTAGCACCTTCAAAGGCCATCCGAAGGCGATATTGATCTCCGGACGACACTGTCGAATCTCGATGGACTCCCTGATTTTCTTCTGGCCATCCGTGTTCCCACAGCCAGTACTTGGGCCTCAATGAAAATCATATATGTGCTCCTGATGGTTCCGTGCTGCTGGTAATCAGTAGCCATGTGTTTACCCCACGGTTTGTTGAGTATCCTGTGACATGCTTCGTAGTGGTGTTGAGTATCCTGTGACGTGCTTCGTAGTGGTGTTGAGTATCCTGTGACGTGCTTCGTAGTGGTGTTCCTCGAAACGGTTTCTTGCGACCCTTAAGGTCTCACCGATATGTACAGGAAGCCTAGTGACAGTGGCGTCAACGTGGACTTTCATTCCGAAGTGCCTCGCTCCGTCAAGTATGCGGTTGGTAAGCAGCACGTCATCGGAGCTTGAAAACATTCGCTATGAGAGTCTCGATATGACGAAGAAATTGCTGGGAAGCAACAACTACCGTATTTTCCGGGGTATAAGCCGCATTTTTTTCGCTAAAAATCGGACCAAAATCGCCCCTGCGGCTTATACACCGAATATGCTTGGGCGAATGAATGCTTAGCATACATCAGTATGCATGCTGACGTCATGTGACATGTCATTCGACTCAGCTTCGCGCCTGTGTTGCTATCCCAGCACTTTTACTAGTTTTAGTGCGCGGGCTACACCATACGGTAAGCGATACGGGGACTCTATTTTGCGTACTGCAAGTGCCGGTTTACACCAACAGGCCGTATGAAGAAACCATCAATTTCCAAAGTATGCAAACGGGTGGATGAGTCATGGAAGGCCATCCCAAATACAATGGTCGCCAAATCATTCAAAAAGTGCTCAATTTCAAATGCACTGGACGGCACTGAAGATGACATGATCTTTGAGGACCACAATGATTCAGACTCCGGCAGCCATGAAGACGGCGACGGCATCGCTGCAGAGGTAGCTTTGATCAACATCAGTGGCAGCGAGACTGAAGATAGTGCAGATGACATGGAGTGATCTGTAGTCAACACAGCAATACACCAACATCTCTGCAGCAACCTGCGGTGCACTAGCACCTCATAATCTGATCTAACATGGTATTTAGCTCTATAACCATAATAAATTTGTAGAAAGGCCATTTGTCAATGAGTGTGAAAAATCTTGGTTTGTGGGTGCGGCTTATACTCCTGTTGTACATGTGGCTGCGCTTGTGTCTCTTCGTAGTACATGCGGTTGCACGTGTAGCTCTTTGTCGTACATGTGGCTGCTTTTGTGTCTCTTTGTTGTACATGCTGCTGCGCTGTTTTTTGTCCCCGTTGGTACACACTTGCTCGTCTTGTCCCCGTTGTACGCCTTCAATCTAATATATTCTGTTGTCTAGTCTTGTCTCAGTGTCAGTCGTCCGTCGTTCGTTGTCAGTGTTAGTTGTCTGATAACCATGAGTTCTCCAGTCACCTTACTGAAAGCGAAGTAGAAGAAAAAGCTCTCTAACAATTTGTGCAAGTCCTTTGTTGTGTGGCGTGGCGAGGAGCGTGGAGGCAGTTCGTTCACGGTTCTCAAACCCGTGACTACACTCCGAATACCAACTTTTAGTCAATATTTTGCCTCAAAAAGGGGGGTGCGTCTTATACCCCGGTGCGGCTTATACCCCGGAAAATACGGTACACACTGACCAACCACCAAAATCTCAATCCCTTGACAAGGCATCCAGAATCCCTGGATTTCTCTCAAAATCCCTGGACGGCACAAAAACAAGCGAAAAAGAGCTTTTCCCGCCAAAAACCACGTTCGACTCTGCAGATCTGCGTACTTGTACTGCACAGTTCGACCCTGCAGTGCAGTTCGATCAGTCGGCACCCGCCTGTCAGTGTAGATCTTGCAGCCTATTGTAGGCTGTTCAGATCTTGAAAGTGCCGTGCACAGTTCGAAGTGCGAGTGGGCACCGTACATGGTAATTTTTTGAAAAAACCGGGACATTCGAGTAGAATCCATGGTGTTTTCAGGAAAATCCTGTATCAGACAAAACTGTGACTTTTCCGGGAGTTTGCTTGAGATCTCCGCGACCTGGGAGTAGTGTGGATTTCCTGGGATTTTCCCCGGGAAAACCGGGAGTGTTGGCCAGTATGCAACTATCCCGAGGCAATCGAGATTGCTCGGATAAGTTGCCACACTGCCCAACGACGTGAGCCATACTGAAGCTACCCTTTCGCTCAGAAGACATTCAGCGGAAAG